TTTTTTTTTTTTTTTTTTTTTTTTTTTTTTTTTTTTAAGCAGAAAGTATACACATTAGTATGGTTAGAAATAAATAAAACATTATTCTGAGAATTAACAGGTTATCAGAGCTCTTTAACTCATGAAGATGGCAGAATTTAGTAGATAAAGTTCCTTTTAATTTCTTTACCAATTTAGGTTTGATCAATTCACAGTATAGCCCATGAAGTAATCCATAGGGATGCTCAGTTTGAACCAGATACTTATTTTTCTGAGGCTGCAAATTACCAAACCGTATTACATGAGAATGCTCATATAACATGCTCTGAATGCTTTCGGGGGTCAGCTGTGGAAAGCCTAGGCTTACATTCACCTTTTCTTTGGAAATACTTTGTTTTCTCTAAGATAAGGGAAATGAATGAAACAGGAAGAGGGGGGAGTTCCCTTAAAGCAGCCAGACAGGTACTTTACAAATAAAAATCAAAGCCTGTTTCTACAGGTGCTATTACATGTGCTACTTGAGTTCTTCAGCTGTGTAAAATTAAGCATGTGTATGTTTTGTTTGATGGCAGGACCTCAGGAGCACATGGAAAGAAAAGTGAAAAACAGGATTAAACTGGGCTTGTAAATATAGGTAAAGAATCCAGATAATCACAGCCAGGTAGCACAAGAAAGTCTTATTTCCTTTCAGTGCAAAGCCAATAGCAGCTGTAAGAAATACTATTTGGTCAGTTGAGTTAAGGATAAAAAGTGGGAAACTCTATTTTGCAAGGCTTTCATGCACCATTTGTTCTGAACAGTCAAGAAACATCTATTTTATTATTGTATTCACCTATAACAAATATTTAAATGCTTTATAACAGATACTTATCTTTTCCCCAAGTCAGAATCTAAAGCCACTTTACTAGTAACTGAGGAATAGCTGACAGGCATGGGAAAATAGCCCAAGAAGGGGAAAATGGTTCATCTTTCTTAATTTGAAATAAAAACATATTCTTTTGCACAGAAGATATATTTCTCTTAAAGAATTTATTTTATAGACAGAGCTTTAGTTTAACTAGGTCATTAGCTAAATTACACAGAATCACAGGATGGCTGAGGTTGGAAGGGACTTCTAGAGACCATCCAGTCCAGCCCCCTGCTCCAGCAGGGACACCCAGAGCACGGGGCACAGGGCGGCATCCAGGCGGGTTTGGGAGATCTCCAGAGAAGGAGACTCCACAGCCTCCCTGGGCAGCCTGTGCCAGGGCTCTGGCACCCCCACAGGAAAGTTTTTCTTCCTCACATGGAGATGGAACTGCCTGTGTTTCAACTTACACCCATGGCCCCTTGTCCTGTCACTGGCCACCACTGAGAAGAGTTTACACTGATGAACTTTGATTCAGAAAGGTGTGGGAGCTACCATAAGAAAAACCGTGCTATTAGTATTGACTGGAAGAGAAATAAATGCCTTTGCAAAATTAAATTGCTCAAAATAGGAACTATTTGTCAGTGGGCAACAGGTATCCCTGACGTAGCTCTGAACTGCCTTTTAGCCCATTTTATTCAGTCGTTAGAGTAAAACTAAAAATGTGCTTCAGAGCAGTTAAAATCTATTCTCTGTAGGAGGACAGGTATATTTAAGAGAAAACATCTCTCTTTCTTATTACTTGTAGAAAATTGTTATCTGGCAAGTACATAAAATGCAAATATGATGATTGCAAATACTTCCCTTGTGTCTATTTATGACAGGTAAATTTATTGAAGTAATATGTTTCAAGGGGGAAATAGAGAAGCATTGCTTCAGTGCAGGACAAAACGAGCATAAACTGATGACTTCATAATATGAGACACTGATGCCCAAGAACCCCAGTAAAAACTCTTTTACCAACATAAGTAGTTGTCTGCTTCCGTTAGAAGCTGCTGTTGTTTATATGGGTTATTAGATTGGCCTATCATTGCTTTTATAAAATATACATTGCCTTGGACTCTAAAAATGCAGGATCAAGCCGTGATCACCGGCTCTACTGTGATTCTTAATAGCAGTTGTGCCTGAAACCTGCAACTCACAGGAAAAAAGAACTTCAGTTTCATTTATTAGGCAAATCACTCTAGTTACATAAAACCTCTGTATTTAGTAAGTAAAAAAGATTACACTGTATTAAGAGAAGGAACAGCTTTTGAACAAGTTGAAAATTAAACTTCTACAATGAATAGACATTTGAGAGTTTAAAAACAAGTCAAGATTTGGCTTTTTGTTGCAAACTATAGAACATAAATGCAAGATCATAACGATTTTAATAACTACTTTTTGAGTTGCATATAAAAGAAATGATCAAGGCCATGTGAACCACAGGATAATGAAAACATATAAGAATATATTTATAATGTTTAAAAAGCGAGTCAAAGTGAAAACATTTGGCACCATTTTATCAGTTACAGAAGCTTCAGTAGAATTCTCCCATCACCTAAAAGCCACTACCAGCTGGGCAGGCTGGCTTTTACTCACAGCGCACAACAGGAAATGTTTATCCTGAACTTTTCCTACCTGGAGCAGTTTAATTTTGCTGTGACTGATGTGGAGTCTCCTGGTAGTGGTCGGGATCTCCCTGGGGACCTCTGTGGCTCTGTAGCACTGCACCGAGCGCGCAGAATCGCAGCTGCACCTCCTAGGGCAAGCGGCACTCCGGCCGCCGCCGGGGAGAGGGAGCAAAACCACTAACAAGTAAGACAAATACATCTTCCAAAACGGGAACTCGGGAACCATCGCAGCCGCACATGGCGTGAATTATGCTCCAAAGTCCTTTTATACCATGAAATCTGATAAAAGGATATTATGGCTGTGTGTTTTATCCCCGTGAAAAAACAGCAAAAACAATACCCCAATTTGCCTGGGTTAAAATGTTGGCAGCCATTACAAAGGGTGAGAAATTTGAACAGTGATAAGGTCCCTTTACATTTGTAGGTATGTGAAATTAGTGTTATTTATTACCTGATATCTAATCTGCAAACATCCATAGTATCTCCAGTTTCCTAGTTTTGTTAAATGTGACACCACAGAATTAGTGGAGGAAAGATAAAGAGCTCTTTTATAGTGGGGCTATAAAGCTTTTGTATCTTCTGTGACCCAGTATTAGAAACTGTAAAGCCCAGCTACAACCAGCAGAGAAGGGTTTTGGTTTTTGTTTTTTTTTTTCTCTTATACCTCCTCTCATACTACTCAGACAAAAACAAATGACAAAAAAAGAAAAAAATTCTTATTCTAAAATTAAAAACACCATTTACTTCATGATTTTTTATGATACATCTGAGTGGTTGGTATGCATTTTTAAAAGACGCTGTAAATATCTAAGTTACCTCTGCTCATATGATGCAGTAATTCAAAGTTTTGTTACTCATCTTGTACTTGAAAATTACAAATATGCAACACCTGAAAGCACTTAGTGTAAATCCAGTGGCAGATGATGAAGAAAATTGCAAGTGGGAAGCACTAAGGTTCCCTGCAGAGTTTCCTATGGTGGTTAGTGCTTCTCTCATGTATCTGCTGGCTGTGCTAGTGAGTCATGTGAAGTCAGGCAAGGCTTACATTTTGGTTGGTGACAACCTTAGGAACTTCCGATGCATTTTGCTTCCTTTGTTTTCAGTAGTTTAAGCTGTGTACTTAGGAAACCTTCATGTCTTATCGTATCAATCTGCTTTGCATTACTTTCTGCTTTCTTCCATCCTCTCCATATTTTCTATGGCAGCTAATCCTGTTCCTCAAATTCAAAACTAGGACATCAGAAGATGATGGCAAATTGATCTGGCAAACTCATCACTGGCCCAGGGACAGTCCTCAGTGGGAATGACCATTTGATGGGGCTGGTTTTACTGTGAAAAACTGCCATATTCTCTGACGTAGGTCCTTCCATCTTCTTGCTTGCTTGTTCTGCACTGTAGGATGAAACTGCAACCAGTGTCTGTCAAGCCAAGCAGCAACAGCAAAAAACTTATTTCTAAATCAACCTGTGGAACTGGTGCATTTAACACTCCATGCATGCAGAAAATCCTGCCTAACTTCTGCCATATTGATCAATTACGAGAAAAAAAAAAAAAAAGGAGTGGGTGAGCAGGATAAGCAATGATATTTTAAAGCAAACATTGGAACATATCTTGATATAGGGTCTGTTAGCTGATTTTTTCTAGAAGAGTCAAAGTGCTCAGATAAAAGTGTAAAACCTGTCTGCATGCTGGCAGCTACTAGGGCAAATTTTAGCAGGTGATGCACTGTTTTTTCACTTACCTGTGTTTATATGCTGAGGTCAACAAGACAGTAATGTTCAGAAACTTAGATATTTGTATTCCTCAAAATGTAATCTAGGCCTCACATGAAGATTTAAACTAAAAACTTTTTGTTCCAGGATGCTCAGAAGACGTGCAGATCAAGCCCTGAACTTTGCAGTTTGGAGCTCTACAACACTGCAGGGTGAACTGGGAATCCCTTTAAATAAGAACCTTCCCTATTTTGCAAATCCAAAGCAACTCAGCTGATGTTAGAATTTACAGCTGTATTTACGGAGTAAATTCAGAGGGTGATATCCTTGACCCTTCATATTTTTGAGCAGAATCTATATTCTTGATCTTTTCAAATTAGTGTAAAGAAACATTCTTTATTTAAATATTGCTTATTTATATGGTATTGTTGGTCATGATTCAATCAAAAATTATACTCTGTATCCATTAATCTCTGATATAAATGCTCTAAGCAACTGGGTACTTTAAAGTGTTTGTTATGAAAAAACATCCTATTAATTTTTTTTCCTGTAAATTCTGAAACACCTCCATGAGAACAGGTATTTACAAATGCATTTTATTTTATTTTATTTTATTTTATTTTATTTTATTTTATTTTATTTTATTTTATTTTATTTTATCTTCATTTTAGGCAACCTGATAGTAAGAGGACTGGTAGAGTCATGGGACTGCACAAATCCAAGCCGAGCAGTAAGGCGAGCTCCAGAGAAAGGTGAATAGCGTTCCAAGGAAGGAATACTGCTGGCTCAGTGTGGTCTACAGCTTGGCAGTGTGACATTCAGAAAAGAAATCACTGCAGACCGTTTCCTGCCAACAGTTTTTATGAAGACTTTCAAACCCTTTCAAAGTGGAGTGCAGAAGTAACGGCTTGATATCGCGCTCAGTCATTCCCCTGTCAGAAAGGAAGGAAGGAAGGTAGCACCTGTAACTTGTATTTGCAAGAAATCCCAAGGACATACTACACAGTATGTGCTTTAAACGAGATTAAACATTTCAGTTCAAACCCCGCTAAAGTAAAAATTCTGACTGGAATCTTTGTCTTTTCGGCTCTTAATAAGAACATTGTTTATGGAAAATTAGGGCAAAATAGAAAACACAATGAACAAATTTGAATAAAAAATAATTTTAACTCTCTTTTTATTTTCAAGGTTTGCTGCTTATATTTTTGGTCTGAAAAAGGCCTAATGTGATTGTAAAGTTTTCTTTCTTTTCCAAATCTAGTATTTGGTCAAATAAAATCATGCCTTTCTGCATAAGCCTTGGCTCACTCAGGATTCAGCAATTCCTGATAATAATACGTAATACTGGTGTTTGGGGGCCTTTTTTTTCTTCAGCAGACAGAGATTTATCAAAAGCACACCAATGTATGTCAAGATACAGTTCTTGTGTATTTTAAGATTACACTTAGATAATTCCATAAATTTAAGATATTAAGATTAGGAGAATGAATTTGCAAAACTGAAGCCATGGAGTGTTTAGAAATATCTGAAATAAGGCGGTCCATAACATCCAAAGTTGGTTACTTTGCAGTGTACATGATGGTACAAATCCACGGGGGCAGCTGCAGTCCTGTCAATGAAAAACATGGGAAAGGCTGAGCTCCTGCCATTCCAGTGGCCCTTGTCCCTGGAAAGGCCAGGAAATCGCAGGACAAAAGGAGCTCCCTGCAGAGCACACAGCTCAGGAGCTTAGTCCTTGAGGACTTGGCAGCTGGGAGCTGCTAAGAGATGGAGTGTGCTCTCAAGAATTTGTCTACCTCGGAAGTGAGGCAATTTCAACAAGGTGAGAAGTTCCCTAAATTATACCCTCTGCGAGTATTAAAGATGGTTTCATTCTTCCAGGCTGTAAAAAAATTTCAATGTGTGTTTTGCTTCACTGCAAAAATAATCAAAATTTCCAAAACAAAATTTCAGAATGAACTAAGCATAAAAATATATATAAAAAGAAACATGAGACTAAGACCAAAACAGGCACTGTAAAGAAGAAAAGCTAGTACTAAGAAATGACTTGTATAATTGTTGCGTCCCAAAATCACTGCTTTTAGCAGTGAACGCCTGTAAAAGGCAACCGACTACGAACTCTCTAAGCCCAGAGGGCAGGGATCACACAAAATGTAGAAATCTAAGAAGTCTTGCTCCAAGCATGGCACGCATCAGCTTCCCGGCTGCAGCGCGGGCGCTGGGCGCTAAGGGCGCAGCAGTGGCAATGTGGATCAGCAGGGTGGTTTTTTCCTCTAGATTTAGGTGTTACGTTGCGTTGTTTTATATAAAAATATATCCTCGCCAACCCGAAGGCCGTTTACTATTGAGCACAGCGTTTGTTTTCCGAGAATTTATTAGGCACTGCAGGGATCAGTGCGAGCGTGTAGGGCTGCACGCAGGAACTACTGTTGCTCCTCGAGGGCAGCGTAACACTCCCTGCATTCTGCACACTCTCCCTTATGCGAATAATTGGAATTCTGTGCATAAATTACGTGTGAAGAAGTCAGCCTGTGATTAGCAATCACAGATGAGCAAATCTTATGTGAGGTCATTTTGACATTAGGGGTATGCAACCAGTTCAAAATTTTCACAACACACAGTTTGCAGTATCTGGTTGTGAGAGATGCCTCCTGGGTGCAGAAAACTAGACTGGCTCACCAAGAATCCTTACTGGTAGGTGCCGGGGCTCAAACTATCCCTGTCCTGTAAATGTTATTTTGCTGATGTTATCAGGTTAACATATATCAGGTTAACAGATGCTATATGTTAACATATACTACTGTTTACTCAAATGCAGTCTCATCTAACTGAAGGTCCAAACCTTTTTTTTTTTTTTTTTTTTTTTTGAGGTCGAGTTCCATAATCCCTGCATGATTTGCCTATGGAGCAGAGCTAAGGTTGGCCTGGCTTCTTTTGCCGGGCATTTTAAGGGTGGCTGGAATTGCCCGGGTTTTTTTTTAGGGATCCTGCAAGCATAGTTTCAAAATAATTAAGGTGCTCATGTGCTTTCCCTTCCTTGAAGTTAATGCCCAGCGTTCCTGCCGCGGGACGGGCTGCCGCTGCAGGCAGGGGCGGTTGGAGCTGGAATGAGGCCCCGAGGGGCGGCAATTCCCGCGCTAAGGGCCGGGCGCGGCGGCTCCCGGCGAGGCCGGCAGGGGGCGCGCGCGGGCGGCGCCGC